AAACAACTCCAGACACACTAAGCCACCTTATCTTTGACAAAGGTGCCAAACACATCCACTGGAAGAAACCTTCTTTAATAAATGGAAACACTGGTACCAAAGATTAAGACTGGATTCCTATCTTTTACCATGTACTAAGCTAAAATCAAAATGGATTAAAGATCTTAATACTAAAACAGAAACATTAAATCTGCTGGAAGATAGAGTAGGTAAACTTTTGAAGACATTGGTGTAGGCAAAGATTTTATGAACAAAACTTGATGGCACCGGAACTATCACAAAGAATCAACAACTAGGATCTCACCCTACTGAAAAGCTTTTGCTCAGCAAGAGAAACCACTAACAGAGTGAAAAGACAACCCACAACGTATGACAAAACGTCTGCCTCCCGTTCCTCAGACAAAGGATTCCTATTAAGAGCATGTAAAGAACTCAAAACAATCAATCCTCCCAGATTTAAAGACCCAATCCAAAATGCGCACCTGAGATGAATACAAACTTCTCAGATGAAGAAATACGAACAGCAAATACATGTGTGAAAAAATGTTCAACATCACTGGCCATTCAAGAGATGCAAATTAAAACAACACTGAGATTCTACCTCATCCAGTAAAGAATGGCTGTTATCAAGAAATCAAGTAGTAACAAATGCTGGCAGGGCTGTGGGTAAAAAGGAACACTTCTCTACTGTTGGAGGGAATGCAGACTAGTACAATTGCTGTACACTAGCAAAAAGAGCTTCGTTATATGTTATTAAGTTATATGACCAGGGGCTGGGGGTTTAGCTCAGAGGCATAAGCGCCTGCCTTGCAAGTGTGTGGTTGTGAGTTCGATCCCTGGTACCGATAAAAATGAAAAAGACAAAAAAAAGAAAGAAAGAAAGAAGTTATATGACCAAAGTACCTGTAATGCTGCCTACTGTTCTGTATCGTTTCCCGCCCCCTCTGGGTGATCTAATTGATATGTTAATCAATGCTCCCCTCTGTAAAGAATTGTAAATACCTGGGAACCTAACCTAATTGATAACCTAATTAACCATTGTTGCCCTCTACAAATAACAGATGTGGTGCTAAAATAAGCTGACAAAGGATTATTAATTACTGCTAGACTTCTCTGTTCTCTGCTAAGGGAAACAAAGGTCTTCCTCATTAGCAGGTTTCTTGATCCACTCCCATAACCCCTTACTTTGTAAACTGTGATATCTACAAAAGGCTAGAAAGCTTTGAGGGGGACACACAGCTTTTGCAAACTCCAACTGCACTGTGTCGCTGGGCCCAGGATAAAATAAATCAGTGCTGCTTTTTAAAAACATGTTTTGCCCCATTTTTGAACTCGAGGTTGGGGAGTCTGGGGGGCTCATTTGTGGATTACAAGACAATCACTGTGGAAATCTGTGTGGAGATTCCTCAAAAAACTAGGATTGGATTTCCCATTCAGGCCAGCTATTCCCTTTCAGAGTATCTTCCCAAAAGAAACTAAAAACATCATACCACAATGATATATGTTCGTATGTTTCAGTAGCACAGTTTGTAATAGGCAGATCTTGGAAACAACCTAAATGGCCATCAATTGAGGAATGGATAAAAAACACGTGGTTTTTTGCACATCAGGGTATCACTCAGCCAGCCATAAAGAAGGATAAACTGGAGACTTTTCTAGGTAAACGGATGCAATTTGAGAACATACTCATTAGTGAAATAAATAAACCCACATGTGTAAGCATTATATTGTTTCATTAGTATGAGCTGAAAGAAAAAACCTATGTATATGTATATTAAAAAATGGTTAAGATAGTTATACTACTGATTTCTCTGAGGACACTGAAGAGAAAGATTTGGGCAGGTATTGTTTGGCCAATTGAATGCTGAGGTCTCATGCTCTGGGTGAATGATTGGAGATGATGGTGCGCAATGTTGCCCTTTGATGGATGTGTTTTGAAATTTTGTTGTAGTTTTTTCTTTTTTCTTTTTGTCCTTGAAATAAAATGGATTTGGGGGAAGAAAAAAAAACTTGATTTGTGAGATTTGCTTCTAAATTTTACACTTTGGGACTCTAGCCAAGTATTTCCTCAAAAGCACACAAACCTTCCTTCCACTGTTATCTGTTATGTCCTAACAGAAAGAAACTGACAAAGAAACTGACGTGAAGTCCTGTTTGCAAGGGAAGCAGTGTCCAAATATAAAGTTCAGTTTTCCTGCTTTAACTTTAATCTCCCGATTCCAAATTTATCCTCAAGGATTCAGTGTACTAGAGAGCACGAAGGCTCTGGAGTCGGGTTGATGGAGAATGATTTTCACTTTCTCCTTAGACCTGTCTGGTGTACCACACATAACACCTTACTTAATTCCTTTATTTTCCATACTAATCAAAGAAACACTAGTTACATGATCTTGGGAAATTATCAGTTCTATCATCTATTTCAAAAGAGTAATAACAAGCAGGTCCTGTCCATAGGAGTACTGTGAGAAATACAGTAAGACATGAGAGGGATCCTGGGATAGGCTTAAAGCTCAATCAATATTAGCAGCTATTATTGTTTATATTGATAATATGGAAAAGCACCTAGCATCCAGTTGAGGTTCAATAAAAGCTGTTACTGTTTTCTAAATCATTTAAAAATATTTTTGGATATGTCAAATGAAACTGATGATTATTTATATATTGATTGATTTATCTGTTACAGGGGTTCTCTTAGTGTGCCCCTATTCACTTAATGAGAAACTAAGAAATAAAAACTTTTCAAGCTTGTTAGAAATACTACTCTCCAGGCCCTACCCCAGACCTAATGACTTGAAAGCTGTTGGGGCGGGATGCAGAAGTCTGTTTAACAAGCCCTCTAACAGACTCTGATGCACCTCAAGTTTAGAAACCACTGGTATAAACTTATACCTGGAAACACATTAGACATATATATTAAAAGCCAAAAATATCACATTCTACTTTCATAAGTCAGTAATTCAAAAATTCCCCTCTTATCTGTGCCACAAATGTAAAATGTAACTGTCAAGAACACAGAGTACACAGACTTTTTTTTCTTTTCACTAAAATCTACCACAGAGTGTGTTCTCAGCTTGGGAATTTACACTTCTCTCTGACCACCAAATCGGAAAATAGAGAATACTGGGGCTGATTCCATGGAATCGTGAAGTCATTCACTTTAATACATAATCACAGAAGACCCGCCACTATAAATCTGACCTTTCCAAAAACATAATGGAACACACGAAAATATAAGTCAGTAGGTGTCTCCCCTATCATTAGACAGGGTGTAGCCCCACAGTGGAATTCTGGCTAATGTTTTGAGGATCTAGTGCTACCAGTTTAAATTGTGTTAAAGAACGACACATAAATGTTCCTGCCAAAAACAGATTACCTAGAAACCATGATTTCCAAGGTAAATAATCTGATCTACTGAGTGTACGAAAAGGCGGCAGACATGAATATGTTAGTTTGTTTTACTCTGGAAAGTCTTCTAAAGGAGGGTGAGTCAAAAGGAAAACATTCATACACACTCACCAGCACTAGCTTAAGGGCAGACTTAGTCACTCATACGAGTGAAGCCCAGAACCCTACACTTTAATATGTTTGGAAAAAGTCAAGAGATGTTTGCTCACCAACACACCTCAGTTTTAATAAACCAGTCTATGTAATTGATGTTATATTGTCATATTTTAAGTTACATTTAAGTTATATTTTTTAAATTCCCACCAAATTTTTTAAGGAAAAATGTTTCCAAATATCAATGCTTAACAGTAACTCCACACGCTTTCACATGCAAGGCTGCACAATACCTAGCTTCTTCAGTTATAGAAACTCCTACAACTGACCATTCCAGAACCCTACTGGGCAGAATATGAGTCACTGTGCAGCTACACAGATCCTAACTTCCTAGGTCACAGGGATTAGTTACCTAGTAGCTGAAACTACCAGAAGCGAAAAGGAAATACACAAGGCAGGGAAGAAAGATCGGTCTGGGCTCAGCTACTCCAGGCCCTCACTGTCCAGAGCAGCAGACTCACCCAGAACTGTGTTCCTTGGAGTCAAAATGAGGTTTAAAAGATTGGAGTAAAGTAATTCAAATATATTAAATGAATATTAACAAAGTAAAACAATAATTTAGTAAAGACATAAATTTTTAAGAACTATTTAAAAGATGAGGACCACCCTCAGGCCTGAGCAACACCCACCCCCACTCACCCACTCACACACCCACCCACCCACATGCCACGGCAGGCCAGGGCGGGCGGGCACCTTGCTGGGAAGGCATCAAAGGTGTCATCCGCGGCCCCTCAACCTTCTCCAGCTCTTCCTGCTTTCCCCTCTGATCCTTTCTGCTCCTCTCCCTTGTGCATTAAGGACTACTGAAGACTTCAGTCAACATTTACAAAGCAGAGAACACATATAGCAGCATGCACATCTTATTTTATTCTATTCTGTTTACTGTGGTGTTGGGGATTAAACCCAAGACCTTCATACCAGTTCTGGGTTTTTGGTTGTTTTTTTGTTTTTTTAATTCAACAGGGTCTCACTAAGTCACTGAACCCACTTGCCCCAGTTGCCGAAAGTGCTGGGATTGCAGGTATGCACAATCACATCAGGCCTTAGATTTTATTCCCTTTCTTTCTCTCCTTGTTCTTCAATTACTTTCATCTTTATCACCTGATTTCTCATGGTCACAGAATTTGAATCTTCAGAGAGAAAAAAATCTTACTCAAACTATAATGTTTCCCTTTCCTAACATAAATGTTTACAAATTTCTTAAACAACTGAGATTTTTTAAGTTCAGTAATATCAGGTTTCACTAATATCACAGAGTACACTGTAATCAGTGGGTTCTTATCTTCCCACCTCCTCATTATTCACAAGCCACACACCAAGTAACTGTAAACAACCAAAATGCCTGTGAAACATTCTACTATTTTAACTTTCAAGCTGATATTCAAAAGCTGTTCATTTTCAAAAGATAAAACAATTCAAATGTGAAAGAAATAAAAACTGACCTTCATGAGATGCTGATTTATCCATTTTGTAAATGTTTTCTTTTGAACTTTGTCCCGTTCATCTAGAAGATTAAAAAAAGATATAAAATAAAGTTGGTACGATCTATGCATGGTAAACTTTGTAGTCATGCCCATACACAAAATAAAATAGGATACTCAAAAGACATGGTTCAGGACACCTGAATTCTCTCTCTCTTTTTTTGTTTTTGTTCTGGGGACTGAACTCAGGATCTCACACTCGCCACACAAGCACTTACATCACTGAGCTAAATCCCCGGTCCTCTCTTACTAAATTTTGACAGGTTTAGGCAATTTGTAAGAAAGTGTTATGGCCAGTGGTGAGACTGGTCTCTTCTTGGTGTGGTATCTGCCAATTAGCAAGTTCTGTACTCTGCCCATTTACTGTGTAATTCACCATCACCACCCCCACACCGGGAGGGTCTCTACCCTCAGCCCTGTTGGCCTCAGGTGTGCCCTTATACGGCTCTGCGGAGCACTGTAACACATTTACATCCCATTTGCTCTTTACAGCCACCGTGTACTCTCATTCCCATTCCCATTCCACATTAGAAACCCAGGCTGCAGGAGGTTCAAAGAGGTCTCCATAGTTGCCCAGCAAATGGTTTAAAGTCTTTATAAAAGCCAGAACCTAACTTCAGACTTGGGCTAGAAGTGGACCTTGGTTTACCTCCTCGCCATGAGGCTTCCCTCCTAGACTCCCTGGGTTGAGTGCCTGGTAACAAAGAAAGCTACATCCAGACCTCCCTGCCTGAGTGTTTCTGCCCTGGTCACTACAGATACAGCACAGCAAAGGGGTCACTTGCGGTTCAAGAATCTGAGAAAGCTCTGACATATCAAGCTGTTACTTATTTTAAAGGAGAATCACAGGCCTCCAACACCGAGGCCTTCCTCCCCACTTATAGGCAACAATTCACTGCCTGGGTCCCATCCTTCTTCCTTCCTGGGTCTGGGGTTCCCTCCTGCTCCTTTCCTGGTGCCTTCTCTCCGCTCCAACCACAGTACAAGTGTGGCCCCATCTGCAGCGTGGGATTATGATGAATCCCTGTCTCTTTTCCTTTCCATTCCTCTTCCCCGAATCTCTTTGAACTACTGTGAATGAGTGTTCTTGGAAAATGTTTGCCTTATTTATCAGAGGTATTTCCACTTTTTCTAACAATCTGAAAATATGCAAAATTTAAAAAATCACCTGGGGAAAATAGTCGCAATATCAGACAAAGATTATTAACGCTAGTATTTAAAAATCAGAAATAAAAAGAGTGCCTTATTATGTAAAGCTAGCAAAAGCAGATAAGAGCCCATTAAAAACAACCAATGTCCAGGTGTTCTCAACACTTCACTTAACAAACAATAGTAATATAACACAGAAAAAACTTTTTAATCTATAAAAGTGCCAAGATTTTATGGGAAACAAAGGATTTTCACGTTGAAAGGACACAGGGAACAGATATTCATATATTGCTAGTGGAAATGTAATTTGATTTAAACCTACACCTGCCAGGGATGTAGCTCAGTGGCACAGTGCTTACCTGGCAAGCATGAGGTCATGAGTTCAATTCCCAGTACCCTAAATAAATAAATACGCCCCTGTGCCTTTTAATACATATGATTAAGTCACATATGATGTGAGTTTAAACCTAAATTAATTCAACCAAAAATTAACAACTCAGTTTCTTGGTTCTGTTTGTCACAGTTCCAGCTTAAGAGTTACATGTAGCATGGCTAGCACAGGAAAACACAAATACAGAACATTTCCCTTCACCACCTGAATCCCTTGAAGACAGTGCTGCTCTGGAGCAGAACCCTCCTGGACAGCACAGCTTGGGTCAACACTGCCAGCAATCAGTGTATATAAAAACATTAAAAATATGTGCACCCTTCCCCAGCCAGTCTACCTCTAGAATGTATTCTCAAATTATAATCACAGTGTGTACAAAATGTAACTATAAAGAATACAAATCAAACTATTTATAATAGCAAAATAAAACTTGAAAAAAAATAAGGACATGGTTAAAGATATTTCAGCAAAGCCACCCACCGGCTAGTTCAGATGCAAGTTGTTGCGGAGCTACTCACTGATGGTTACATTATTCACCACTGTCCCACACTTAAATATTAACATGCAGCTTGTCACTTCACAAGCATTAGTCCTCCACAGTACCAACCTAAAACACCTTTCACATCCTATCACCGTCAGGCAGAAACAAAAAGGTAAATATAATCTATCACTTGGTTCTCTCTATAACGACCACTTTTCAAAAATGCCCAGAATTGTAGCCTGCTCTGGACTTACTACAAGGTGACCTTGTCTCACAACCAAACTCTTCACAACAAAAAGCATTTGTGAACCAGGGTGCTAATGTGTGTTTAATATTTAAGAACTGGAGAAGGGTTGCAGAGAGCAGGCCCAGTAAGTGAAGGTTGCTAATTCTCAACATATTTGCTCCAAATTTATGCTAAAATGGTCACATTTGCCTGATTTCAAATTTAAAAATACCAAAGCACTTCAATAATCATAATGCCAAGAACGACACGGATAACTGTTAACCTATACTATCCAGCCACAAAATATTAATTAGTCAGTACCATAATGGTATTGCCTACATCATACTTATCTTTGTCTACTCCACACTAAATGTCAAAGCTTTTTTTAGGTCCTCAACAAACAGATGTCCATGGTGTGAATTATAGTTCAGAAAAGAAAAGCCAACTCAGGAAAAGTGGAGAATTATGCATATATACACAGCAGCATGGAAGGTTCTATCTCTTTTAAAACAATAATGATATAGTAAATTTTTTGGCTATGTAAAAAATGTTCAGAATGAACGTAAAGTATAATAAGTACATAAGGCAAGGACAAAGCAATAAACCTGCCATCCTCACTGATGCAGACTCTCGACTCCCTCCACGTACTCACTGGCTTGTCTCGCCACTGATCGGGTGCTCAGAGCAGCCTAGGGTGGTGGTGGCGCACAGCCCCCCAGGCTGCAGGTGTAGAGGAACACAGGCCTGGCTCTGCCTGTCACGTGTCCTTCCCTTACAGTGTACACCACTGAACACAGATGAGACCACATAAGCAAGCATAAAAGGAGAGGACTCAGGTATCAGGTGAGGCTCGGAGGCAAGCAGACAGCAAGACAGACACCTGCAGCCTTCCCCCACCACAAAACCCCGAATTCAGTAACTTAACATGGAAAGAGCCACAGCAAGAACCTGAGCACTGTGGTGCCCTTCTTGGCCTAGTCGCTTCTACCCCAAGATGCTGGCATCTTTCAAATGGCAGCGCTGGGCACACTCTGATCACAGGTGAGGGGCCAGCCAATCACCCTGTCGTGTTTGTCTAAGTCCCCAGCAAAAAGAAGACAGAGCAAAAATATACTTATTAGCAATATTCACATTATTCCCATCCAATTAACAACCTAAGATTCTAATGTTAAATCCTCAATAGAAGAAAAGCATTAAAATACTAGGAATCTTTATCATTCAAGAATGGACAAGTTCTACATAAAGTTGCAAAAAACAGGATACGGTATTCCTATACTATCTTCCTAGGTTTTAATGTATTTAATCATCATGTCACAATGTGAGCTCTTTCAAAACTGCTCCATCTCATCAGATTTAATGTAGTATATGTACTGTATAAGAACTCCATCTGCTGAGGTATTTAAAGACTGACAAAATACATTTCTTGTTTTCTCAATTAGTAAAATCCAGGCATGAATTTTAAGAAAACAAAGAAGTAGAACTTTGTTTCTAAAGACAAGATGCCTAACTTCTTACCCAGGAAGTGCGTCAAGAAAGCTGATGTGAAGAATTTCCCTCCCAGCACAGAGGGGACTCAGCGTACGTACGAAAAGATCCTTTGTTCCCTGAGTTTGTGTTATACCTGCTGTTGCCAGAGCCCCAAAGTACAGCTGGAACTGACATGATGCTAAGTATCTGGCAGCTATCACAAAGGTGGTGTCTGGGAATCAGGAGGAACAACTCTAGTACACGAAGAAAACACAAAGACTGAAGCTCACACATCCATCGGCCAGCACTGGTAAACGTTGACGCTGGTTTCTAACAGTGATAACCTAAACCTTTTCTTTTAAACCTTCTTTTCTTCTAAAGTTTTAGAAGCATCCTGGGAAGCTCTTTAGCACTAGCATGTTCCTGACAGCAGCACAATGATGTGAAAGAATTAATGTGAACTGCCAGAGCCCAACTTTCTTGAAAGGAGCAATTTACAATCAGAATACTGCAAGTTTGGGAAGATTGTTATTTTACTACTTTCCATACAAATTATTTCCAAAAGGAGTATTCCAGATTACACCATTAATTTTCCAATTATAGCCTCAGAGCAATTATTTCACTTCAGATTTATATTTGGAGCAATGTTGCCATGACAACAACAACAAAAAAGGGAAAGTCATCCCTGTGACCTTAACTAATTCTACTGACTTTACAGACTTTACTTATTTTTCTGGATTAAGTTTTATAATCTTTGTCTATTTTAATATTACTTAATTTGTAGTTTCAAATGAAAACATACATTTATATTTACCTCAGAAAGTACAACATAGCTAAAAGCACATAGCTCTGAATACAAATAAAACAGAACTTAGGAGGAGAAATTTAAAGGTGCATAAAGATCACGGATTACTAAACCTACACTGACTGGTTTTCAATAAGGTCCAGTCAGGAATGAATGCCCCCAGGGCCACACACATAGTAAATACTGAAATTACAGAAAGCACCCCATGCATGACAGCCAGGAAGTCCTATAGAGCTTCAGGAGACACCAGGATCCCACTCGGATTTCTGACTGGTGCCCCACGGCCACGCCACTCCCATCGGACAAGCCAAAGCAGCAGCACAAAGGTCCTTTCCCAGTTCGGAACGCGCGAACAGGCCCAACAGCGCAGTGCTACGAACCCATGCAACACATGTGGCCCACAAGCCTCGCACTCCAATCCTGAACGTTTGTCATGACCTGCAGGAAATCCGTGCAATGGCTCCCCAAACTCTCTCCGCACACACTGTCAGAGCCCTGCAAACTTTC